TTGCTGTACACCTGAAACTAACATAACATTGCAAGTCAACTATACTACTATTTTTAAGATTAAAAAAAAAATTTCTTCTTCTCTCGGAAACCTCAGTCTTTGTTCTTAAGGCCTTTCAACTGATTAGATGAGGCACAGCCACATTATCAAGGGTTATCTCCTTTTCTAAAAGTCAAATGACTGCAGTGTTAACCATGTTTGCAAAATACCTTCACAGCCACACCCAGATTAGTGTTTGATTAAATAACTGTAGCCCAGCCAAGCTGACCCAGAAAATGAACCATCACACCCACCAAATTCCAGAAATGAGCGTTAAGATGCTTCACTCTGAAGAAGCCTTCATGGCACATTTGACATAGTTTCTATGTACGAAAGTTTCACACACAGTTGTCCATACAAAACAAAGTCCACCTAATCTAGGAACCTGCATTCAAGAGGAGACTATCTCTAGAGTCCATCCCATCCCCACAGCCCTTCACCTGGCACCCAGCTGCTATCCTCTCTCACCTGGACCACAGCCACAGCCTCATCACTGTTCTGCCACCCTCCAGATCTTCCTGCTCTACTCTGTCATCCACCCTACCCGAGGGTACTCTTTCTAAATCTCTAAACTGATTGTGTCTCTGCCGATTCAAATTCCTTCCAGAGCCATCCTACAGAGTCTGTCACCCCAGGACAGCTGCTGTTAAGGTTTGGTGGCAAGCAGCAGACCCCCAAGTCTGACCAATTTAAGTGACAGGGGAATTCATGGAGCATCCCTCCAGGATGGAAGTAAGAGTTAAAGTCTTGATTAAGAAGGTCAGGAATCCAGGTTTCCCTGGTGATCTTGGAAGCTAGAACTAATGGACAGTGTTTTCAGAGCCCAGCTGTGGGGATAAATCAGAGTCAGTCATCTCAATCTCCATGCAACTCTACTCGGGGAGCAGTGTATAAGAAGAGGGTGTTTAACCATATTAACAAATTGAAGGAGAAAAACCATATGATCATCTCAATAGATGCAGAGAAAGCTTTTGACAAAATTCAACATCCATTTATGATAAAAACCCTCCAGAAAGTAGGCATAGAGGTAACTTTCCTCAACATAATAAAGGCCATATATGACAAACCCACAGCCAACATCGTCCTCAATGGTGAAAAACTGAAACCATTTCCACTAAGATCAGGAACAAGACAAGGTTGCCCACTCTCACCACTACTACTCAACATAGTTTTGGAAGTTTTAGCCACAGCAATCAGAGAAGAAAAAGAAATAAAAGGAATCCAAATCAGAAAAGAAGAAGTAAAACTGTCACTGTTCGCAGATGACATGATACCATACATAGAGAATCCTAAAGATGCCACCAGAAAACTACTAGAGCTAATCAATGAATGTGGTAAAGTAGCAGGATGCAAAATTAATGCACAGAAATCTCTGGCATTCCTATACACTAATGATGAAAAATCTGAAAGTGAAATTAAGAAAACACTCCCATTTACCATTGCAACAAAAAGAATAAAATACCTAGGAATAAACCTACCTAGGGAGACAAAAGACCTGTATGCAGAAAACTATAAGACACTGATGGAAGAAATTAAAGATCATACCAACAGATGGAGAGATATACCATTGGATTGGAAGAATCAACATTGTTAAAGTGACTCTACTACCCAAAGCAATCTACAGATTCAATGCAATCCCTATCAAACTACCACTGGCATTTTTCACAGAATTAGAACAAAAAATTTCACAATTTGTATAGAAAGGCAGAAGACCCCGAATAGCCAAAGCAATCTTGAGAAAGAAAAACGGAGCTGGAGGAATCAGACTCCCTGACTTCTGACTATACTACAAAGCTATAGTAATCAAGACAGTATGGTACTGGCACAAAAACAGAACTATAGATCAATGGAACAGGATAGAAAGCCCAGAGATAAACCCATGCACATATGGTCACCTTATCTTTGATAAAGGAGGCAAGAATATACAATGGAGAAAAGACAGCCTCTTCAATAAGTCGTTCTGGGAAAACTGGACAGCTACGTGTAAAAGAATGAAATTAGAACACTCCCTAACACCATACACAAAAATAAACTCAAAATGGATTAAAGACCTAAATGTAAGGTCAGACACTATAAAACTCCTAGAGGAAAACATAGGCAGAACACTCTATGACATAAATCACAGCAAGATCCTTTTTGACCCACCTCCTAGAGAAATGGAAATAAAAACAAAAATAAACAAATGGGACCTAATGAAACTTAAAAGCTTTTGCACAGCAAAGGAAACGATAAACAAGACGAAAAGACAACCCTCAGAATGGGAGAAAATATTAGCAAGTGAAGCAATTGACAAAGGGTTAATCTCCAAAATTTGCAAGCAGCTCATGCAGCTCAATATCAAGAAAACAAACAACCCAATCCAAAAATGGGCAGAAGGCCTAAACAGACATTTCTCGAAAGAACATATACAGATGGCCAACACACACATGAAAAGCTGCTCAACATCACTAATTATTAGAGAAATGCAAATCAAAACTACAGTGAGGTATCACCTCACACCAGTTAGAATGGGCATCATCAGAAAATCTACAAACAACAAATGCTGGAGAGGGTGTGGAGAAAAGGGAACCCTCTTGCACTGTTGGTGGGAATGTAAATTGATACAGCCACTATGGAGAACAGTATGGAGGTTTCTTAGAAAACCAAAAATAGAATTAGCATAACATCCAGCAATCCCACTACTGGGCATGTACCCAGAGAAAACCATAATTCAAAACGAGTCATGTACCACAATGTTCATTGCAGCTCTGTTTACAATAGCTAGGACATGGAAGCAACCTAAGTGTCCATCAACAGATGAATGGATAAAGAAGATGTGGCATATATATACAATGGAATATTACTCAGCCATAAAAAGAAACCTAGAGTCTGTCATACAGAGTGAAGTAAGTCAGAAAGAGAAAAACAAATACTGTATGCTAACACATATATATGGAATCTAAAAAAAAAAAAAAGTGATCATGAAGAACCTAGGGGCAAGACGAGAATAAAGATGCAGACCACTAGAGAATGGACTTGAGGACACGGGGAGGGGGAAGGGTAAGCTGGGACAAAGTGAGAGAGTGGCATGGACATATATACGCTACCAAACATAAAACAGATAGGTAGTGGGAAGCATTCGCATAGTACAGGGATCAGCTCGGTGCTTGGTGACCACCTAGAGGGGTGGGATAGGGAGGGTCGGAGGGAGGGAGATGCAAGAGGGAAGAGATATGGGGATATATGTATATGTATAACTGATTCACTTTGTTAGACAGCAGAAACTAACACACCATTATAAAGCAATTATACTCCAATAAAGTTGTCCAAAAAAAAAAAAAAAAAAAGAAGAGGTTGTTTAATTGGCCAGGATTGATTCACAGGCCCACCTTTTGGCCAGGAAAGGGCCGCTGATGGAACCACTAAGACTAAAATTAACAAGAGAGGGAAGGATTCTCAGCAAAGTCGGCATATTAGCAGAAGAGAGGAAATAGAGACTGGTCCAGCAAGGACAAGACACAGCCACGCCATACCCACTTCTGTCACCGGAAGGATCCCTCCACATCAGCAGTTAGGGGAGCAAGAAGGGATTGCATTCTCTGAATTCAACAGGGCCAGGAAGGAATGATGGAAGTAGTCTCCAGCCAACTAAGGAGAAACAAGGGCTTTCTGGACCATAAGACAGTAGACACAGCCAGGGACCCTCAGCCTGGACCCCAAGTTCCCCCGCTGTTTCTGTGCCATGGTTCTTCACAAGGAACTCTAAGCCTAGAGTCACTTAAGGAACTCTTTATGGGAGCATAAAGAACCTTTCCCAATCTCTTACCTTATCCCTCTGTCCTCTCCTCTTTCGTAGCTGGCTATTGGGATCTGTGTGGCTGAGCAAAGTGTTTCAGGGCTCTGCAGTCAAGCAGGGGAGGACAGAGCAGCATGAATTAGAAGGGAGATCACACTTACCTGAGTTTCTCTCCTTTCATTGTTTTCTTCTTTATTGTCTGCTCTACCCCTACTGGAATGTGAGCTCCATGTGAGCAGAAGCCCATCTGTCTTTTTTGAGTTTGAACTCTATTGAAGATTTTTTTTTTATTGAGGTATAGTTGATTTACAATATTCGTTTCGGGTGTACAACATACTGATTCATAATTTTATAGATTATACTATATTTGAAGTTATTATAAAATATTGGCTACATTCCCCATGCTGTACAGTGTATGAAATAAACTACAACGATCTGTTGTGCAGCCTTATCGGTCTTGATCGCTCCCTGCTGTAGCCCCAAGCATATGACAGTAACTGGCATGTAGTAGGCAGCTAGGAATATAAATATTTGTGACTGAACAAATAGCCTGCAAGGAAGGCAGAGGCTACAGCCCACCTCCGCCTTTGACCCTGAGCCGGACAAGCAAGATTAGGCCTGGAAGTGAGTGAAACCAGGAAGCAAGAGGATGCTGGATGGAGGAAAGAGCACAGCTCTAGATTCAGCCAGACCTGGGTCCTAACCTGGCTCTGGCACGTGTGGAGCACGTCACTTAACCGCCCCAAGTCTCGGTATCCTTGGTTTTGAAACGTGGATTTACCACCTATTTCACACTGTTGGGTTGAAAATAAATGAGAATGAAATGTGTAAAATTGGCACAGAGTAAATGCTCTCCGCCCCAGATGCCTTTCATCTCTGTTGTATGCTCAGTAAGGGAGGAAGTTGTTTTAATCAGATGGTGGGAACTGAACACTACATTTCCTGGGGCTGGGGAGTTGTGCATTTTAGGAGAGCAGCCTGGAAAAAGCAATTCCTAACCCACAGGATCGGCGGTGGGGAGGGGGGAATGAAACATCAGCGGTGAAAGATCTAGACCATGACAGGCCCAGGGATCCCAGTGGAAAGTCTCCTGCTGCAAACCTCCAGCACATCTAGCCTGTGGCTAGGAGAAAGGTCACTTCCGTGTTACCTCTGCTTCTGGGGATGGTATCAAAAGCATAGCAGGCAATTTGGAAAAAGAACTTTATTAACTTCATGAAAAACAGCTGCCGTGAGTCAAGATCTGGACAAAGACAGAGCTCTGGTGGCTTCCAGTCAATGGCCTGGAAAAAGCCACCTGTTCTCTCTATAGCCTCAGACCAGGGTCTCAGTTGGGGTCCCAAGCAGAACAACCCACCTCCTTGCCTCCTCTGTGCAGGCACAGATTCAGGCAATGCATTCTCATTAGACATTAGATTCCCCTGCTCTGTGGATGTCTCACTGAACAGGAAAATGAATCATCAATGCTCCAGACATTCAGGACAGGACAGATCTATAGCACACCAGCTACTGTTCTGGATCAGCAACCAGGAACACCACATTCTGAATAACCAATCAGAAAGTCAACACTCCGGAGGACCACCCAGAATTCTAGAATGCAAAATAAGAACCCCTTAACTTTCTAGATGATTCCGTCAGGAGTCCCATATTTTAGAATGCCTGTATTCTGGATCAGCCAGAAATCTCACATTCTAGGTGATCAACCGGAAACCAGTGTTCTGGCATTCCGAAGGAGAACCACTCCTCACTTTCTAGATGGCTCACCAGGAATTCAGCATTCTAGATCGACAAACAAGACCACAGTGTTCCAGATCGTGGTGAGAGACCCAGAGTTCTAAACGTCCACCCTGATGCTCTCAACACCAAATCAGAAACCCAACATTGAAGATTATCAACCCTGGCCTCAGCATTCTGGAATGATGAGCAGTAAGCTCTACCCTCCAGAATGCTGCCGCCCTGGCCCCTCAGAGCTCTGTGGATGGCCGCCCCACTCCAGGCCCGTCCTCCTGGCGGGGGTCCGGCACGTGGAAGGAGACGTAGGGACAAGTCTTGGTGTTGAGGCAAACCAGCTTCCTCAGCGTGGCCGTCTTGACAAGGTTGAAACCCATCTCACCGCCAAATGTGCTCGACTTCCAGTACTCCGGAGAACAGATAGGATTCCCTAAGAGGCCCTTAAGGGAAAAAGGAGCCCCAATTTCTATCATACTCTCCCCAAAGATGGAGTTTGGAGAGCACTTCTCAAGAAGCAGCCCTGGGTAGAACTCCAAGGCATCGATGTCCCCATACAGCTCCTCCAAGTCAGCTGCCATCTCCTTCTCTCCTACAAGGGGGAGAAGCCAAAGTCAGAATCATGATGCCACCCATTACGGTTCATCTGGGCAGGGAACCTTCTAGGCCCACCTTTTTCTGGGGAGGAGAATGGACTTCAGAAGAGCACCTTGAGCAGATGAGCACATGCCCTAAGATCTGGCCCGGCTCACCGACCCTGCTCCAGGGCTGCATCTAGGGAAGGAATTTGCTACTGCAGATGGAGTCAAGGGCCTGGATCTGCCACCACACAGCGTGTGACCTTGGGCAGCTCACCCCACTTCTCTGTGCCCTAATTACCTGATCATTACACCAGGCAGAAGCTACCTATCTTGTTTCCTTCACAGGCAGGTTTCAAGGGGCCTTATCCTGGCCCAAGACCCTGCGCTCTACCGGAGCTCAGAGATGCAATGTCATTTGTCCAAGATCACATAGAGACTTAGCGACAATGTTCTTTCTGTCTCTCTGCCCTGTCATGGGAGACAGACATGGAGTGTCCCTACCTGTCTCCTCAAGTCCACCCTCCACAGGGTACCAGTACACAGTCAGGTGTCATGTCACACCCTGGTCAAAACCTTTCAGTGGCACCCCCGTTGTCTGGGACAGGGGTCCCCAAACTTGGCTGCCCAACAACTGGGGATCTTGAACAACAAATATATGTATGTTACATATATTTATTATATATATCATACAATTTGTGTTTTATATATATATATATATATATATACACTTACATATACATACATATGTATATACATACACATACATATATGTATGGAGATATATATATACATACATATATATATATACATACATACATACAGATTCTTGGGTACCTCCTAGGTCTACTGAATCAGAATCTCTGGAAGAGCCATCTCAGATTTGGTATTTTTAATTAGTTTTCTAAGTGATTCTCAGGTAGCTGGCCCATAAATGGGACTTAGGAACCACTAGACAGAATAAAACCCAAAATCTTAGCGTAGAATCCAAGATTCCACACAATCTGAGCCAGCCTCCTATCACTAACCTCCACCCAGCCACACCTAGGACTGTTCTCCTGAATAGGCTCACTTTTTTTTTTCTTTTTTTTTTAGGCTCATTCTTTTTAACCCCTGTGCCTTTGTACTTTCTGTTCCTCCACCTAGAATGTTCTTCCCTCTATCCTTCACCTGGAAAATCCCTTTTTTTTTCTTTTCTGGCTGTGCCACGTCTGTGCCTCCTGCAGTGGAAGTGCAGAGTCTTAACCACTGGACTGCCAGGGAAGTCATGGAAAATCCCTTTTTATCCTTCAAACCCAGCTGAGAAGCCACCTTCCCTCCCCAAGCAGAGTCATCTGTCATCCCTCGCCACCCCTGGCACCGTGCTCCCACACCCCTCAAATCCCACAGTCACAGTGCTGGCCATACGGATCACCCCGTTCTGTTTCCTCAATGTCTCCTTCACTTCAGCTCAAGCCCCTCGAGGGCAGGAGCCGTGGCCGGGAAACAGCTGCTCACCTGTGAGCTCCTGGAAAGAGGTGTAGGGCTTCATGCCAAACCTCTTGCGGTACTCATTGAAGGGCTGCAGCCGCAACTCTCTCGATTCCTTGATGACTTCCACAGCCACGTATAGGACATGGTGGTCTGTGTTCCTACCCCCGCCGATCTGCCAAGAGATAAACGCAGCTGTGGTCTGAGAGCCAGGCCACATTGTCCTGGAGAAGGAATTCAGGTCAGGAGTCCTTTCTGAGCAGAAAGGATGGCTCAGCCTAGCGGCCACCAGGCTGGCAACCCGGCCCTAGGTCTGCGCTGCCATGCTTTCTCAGGGACCCCCTCTGAGGCTCAGCTTCCTCATCTTTAGAGTGTGGAGTGGGCCAGGAGGACTTCTCTAGTCACTCACCAGACACACTGTTCCCCAGCCCTTTGAATTTAGGTGAGAACCCACAACATTCTGTTAAGGAAGGTTCTGGAACTATTAGGTTCAGCAACTAGGACTCTGCAGAGGAGATGGCCAGCACAGCCACAGTCCAGAACTCAAGCAGAGGGGACTGGCATTTCAGATCTGGAAATAAAAGGCAGAAAGGTTTCTGAGTTTTCAAGTGATGGAGACAGACGGATGGACAAATGTTAGTTTGAGGGGCCAAAACTTTATGGCTTTCCTAGGATATTTTTTAAACTCTACCTGGCAGAACTGACATGTGTCTGTCACTCTCCAAATCAGTTTTTATCATAGAACAAAGACGTTTAATCTTTTAATGGATTCTGCTAAGGAACCTATTTCTATTGCTTTCCATTCTCTATATCACAGAATTGAGATTAAATAAAATTTACTGAGCATCTAGTATGAAAAAGTGAACCCCAGGGACTTCCCTGGTGGCACAGTGGTTAAGAATCCGCCTGCCAATGCAGGGGACGTGGGTTCGAGCCCTGGTCCGGGAAGATCCCACATGCCGCGGAGCAGCTAAACCCTTGCGCCACAACTACTGAGCCTGCGCTTTAGAGCCCGCAAGCCACAACTACTGAGCCCACGTGCCACAGCTACTGAAGCCCGTGTGCCTAGAGCCCGTGCTGCACAACAAGAGAAACCACCGCAAAAAGAAGCCTGTGCACCACAACGAAGAGTAGCCCCCACTCGTCTCAACTAGATAAAGCCCGCGCGCAGCAACAAAGACCCAACACAGCCAAAAGTAAGTAAATAAACAAATTAAAAAAAAAAAGTGAACCCCTAGTAACCGGCCACCACTAGAAAAGAGAAACTGAGCTAGAAGGTAGGAACACAGAGTATCAAGTCACTCCATTCAGACCAGATAAAGCTACACACAGAGACAGGTGATTATATCTGTTTCTCTTTCTTTCTGCCAAGCCTCCTGGGAGAGGAATTGTTGTGAGCTAGCAGGGAGGGAACTAAAATCTTGCCATGAAAAGTGTAATATATAAACACATTTAGTTTAACTAAACTTGTAGTTTTACTTTAAGACCAAGGCGGTGGCGTAATATATCCTGTGAAGGGAGGGAAATAGGGTTCAAAGCCCAAGTAACCTGGTGAGACGAAGGCTCCAGAGGGAATTCCCTGGTAGCCCAGTGGTTAGGACTCTGAGCCTTCACTGCCAAGGGCGCGGGTTCAATCCCTGGTCGGGGAACTAAGATCTCACAAGCCGCACAGCACAGCCAAAAAAAAAATAAGGCTCCAGAAAAAGAAAAATCGGATTCATAACTGTTAAGGAGCACAGGTCTACTACTGTACAGCACAGGGAACTCTGCTCAATAGTATGTAACAACCTGAATGGGAAAAGCATTTGAAAAAGAATAGATACATGTATATGTATAACTGAATCACTGTGCTGTACCCCTGAAACTATCACAACATTGTTAATCGTCTCTACTCCAATATAAAATAAAAAGTTTAAAAAGATATTCTTAATGCAAAAGAATTGTCAAAAAAAAAAAGGAGCATACATCTAAAGAAAGATCTATTGCTCAGGGTGAACTGCTAATGCTAATGCTGAAGAAAGAGTTCTGTTTGGGCAGAACAAGGACAATTGGGTGAGAAAGAGGAAAAGCATAGTTGGGTGAAGTTGTACACCCTGGGGCAAAGCCAGAGGATGCTGGTGCCAATCTCAGCTGAACCATTTACAAGCTGTGGGGCCATTGCGGATTGACTTGCCTGTATCCGTGTTGGAGTCCTAACCCCCAGCACCTGTGAATGTGACCTTATTTGCAAATACATGTAATCAAGGTCACACTCCACTAGGGTGGCCCCAGATCCAATGACTGGCGTCCTGATAAAAAGAGGAAAGAGAGACACAGGGAGAGCACCATGTGGGAGTGATGCTTCTACAAGCCAAGGTACCCCAGGGACTGTCAGCCATCACCAGAGATGAGAGAAAGGGAGGGAACAGATTCTCCCCTGGAGGCTTCAGCAAGAGTACGGCCCTGCCGACACCTTGATTTTGGACTTCTAGCCTCCAGAACTGTGCAACAATACATTTCTGATTGGTATTAATACCATCTGGGGGAGTTAACTACAAGGGCTTTCTAGAGAAATGTTTGAGGATCGATCTTTTTCACGGCCTAGATGTTAGTAATGTGTAGTAAACGTTTAATGGGTGCTTGGACGGATCAATGAATAAATGAATAAAAGGTGATACTTCTCAGGTGTAAGGTGGGAATATTTCTTTCCTTTTCTGGATGTTTCTTTGTCTATGGAGGAAACCCCAGTAGCCTAACACTCCTAGCACCTTTTGCCAACCTCTCCCCCTCCCTCCTTATTAGAAGACGAGGAGTAACTTAGTATCATTGGTGAGTTTGAGCACAGTAACTAGGCATGCGTGTTCAAGCTGTCCTCTCTACCGCTCTTGAATTCAGTTGACACCAGGGAGTATGTTTTCTCTCATACTCCTTGTTCTGGGGGGACAGGAGGATGTTGGGAGAGACCTTCCTTGTTTCCATGCTTCCACGTCTTGGTAGCCGAGTTTGTTGATTTGGGGGTTTATTATTAAAAAGCCTGCTTTAGGTTTTCTAGAATCAGCTTTATCAGTAATAGAGGTGATATTTTGAACTTCCAAAAAAAGAAAAAAGAAAAAGAATAAATGTCTGCTGCTGAAAACCCCCTGGTTTGTGTTCCTTTTGCAGCCCTAGGAAACAAATACAGGGACTGTAGGCAAACAACTTATGCTAATCCTCTGTTTCTTCATAGCAGCAATGAGGAAGGTAGAAGCATCAGTCTGATATGCTTGTAAAATAAGCCTGTGGTAAAATAATCGAGATAAAGAACACAAAGCAGTTATCACTGGTCACACGGTAACCCCGAGATGGAACCAGGGTGGGGTTATCGGGGGAGGCCCTGTTTTATCACTTCTCACACTCTCTTTGATATCCTGAGAATCCACACACTTCTGTGACCCTTCTGCCTGGTACCGGGAAACACCAGGGCTTTTCACACACGTCACCAGGGACATTGCTTGAAAATTCTTTGGAAACCATGAAGCCCCGCACACGAGTTATTGTCTCTGTTCATGTCTGTGTCCCCACGAAGAACAGAGGCCGTAAACCAGCCAGCAGCTGCCCGTTGGCGGCAGCATATGCTAAGTGCAGTCAATTACCAGGGGGAAACCTAAATCCATATGGTGCCACAACTTCATGGTGGGGCTGAGGGGAGCTAGGGAAGGAGATGGGAGCCTCCAAACATGGGGAAGGGAAGATTTCGGAGGAAATTAGTTAGAAATTCCAGAGGGAAAGGCTGTATTATTTTGCTAGGGCTGCCGTACCAAAGTGCCTAGGTGGCTTAAACAGCAGAAATTTATTTCCTCACAGTTCTGAAGGCTGGAAGTCCAAGATCAAGGTGTGGGCAGGGTCGGTTTCATTCTGAGGCCTCTCTCCCTGGCTTAGAGATGGCCAACTTTCCCCTAGGTTTTCCCTCTATGCACATCTATATCCTAATCTCCTCTTCTTATAAGGACGCCAGTCATAGTAGGGCTCACCCAATGACCCCATTTACCTTAATGAACTCTTTAAAGACCCTAGCTCCAAATACAGTCACATTCTGAGGTATTGGAGGTTAGGACTTCAACATGGGAATTTGGGGCAGGGGGCAATTCAGCCCATAACAGAGGCCTCTAATGTAATAAAGACCTACTATGTGCAGGCACTTTTGCATATATTGCCATACCCTGAATGTCTTCCTGGTCCTCAAATTGCCATGCCCTCTGACCTCTGGGCCCTTGCCATGCTGTCCCCTCCATCTGGAACACAGAGACCCCGGGCCACGGACGCTACCTCTTGCCCTGGGAGACCCCTATCCATTGTTGGGATCTCTGCTCAAACATCACTTCCTTATCCACAATCCGCAACTCTGGGCCAGAAGCCCTTCTCTGAGTTCCCAGAGCATGGTGGGCTTTCTATATTGTGGTTCTTAACATGCTCTTATAATTCTGAAAACATCAGAAAAGCCCTTGGTACAGTGCCTAACATGTAGTAAGTGCTCAAACGATGTTAGCTGTCACACGACTGTCGTTCCTTTCTAGGGTGTACGCACCAAAAATACAAGGACCCAAGAATCACATTGACCCGGTTCACCTCTGTATCCCCAGCATCTGCAGTAACGCCTGGTATCATTGAATGAATGAAAGAACGACAGAATGAATGAAGGAATGATCACGACCTCTCGGTAGGGGTGACACTCTCCCCCTTTCACAGAAAACTGGGGTTTGGATCCCAGAGCCCAGCGGCCCTCCCCAGCGCTCCTCTGAGGCTCACCTGGCCCGCGGGCTGGCGAGAGAAGGCGTCCACCAGGGCCTCGACCCCGTAGTCCACCAGCATGGAGGTGTTGAACAGGAACTGCTCATAGCTGTAGTTCTGGGGGCCCACCCGGAAGGAGTCGGGCATGAGCGGGTGCCAGTGGTAGAGGTGATTGAATTCCATGGCAATTCGGTTACGGTACTGGAACTGGGTGCCTAACAGCAGCTCTGGGTCAAACTTGAGCTGCAGGAAGTAGCCACTCAGCTGCTGCACGTACTCCTCGATCACAATCTTGATGGTCTCCCCTGGGACGAAGGATGGGGAATGGGGTCAACAGAGCACAGGGACTTAGCCACCAGGCTTGGGAAGTGGGCCAGTTCATGCGAAGGGCTTGGTCTGGTCTCTTTATCATTGTAATGGTTGTTTGATTTTATTTGGCCGCTTTCACTTTGCCTTTTTGTCACGGGGCGTGAAAATGGAACTTTCTGTCTCAGGCCGCACTGATGTCCCAAGACAGGAGCCACCTGCTAGTCCCATGTTCCCTGGGGAGGTCACAGGCCGGGCTGAGCAGGACACGCAAAGGAAATATCTGAGGATGGGTTTTCTGACCCTCTGGTGGCCACCTTCCCACAGCCCATTAAAAGAGGCTGGAGACACCACAAAAGGTGGGCACGTAGCGATGAACTTAGTGAGGGAATCTCAGCGTGCCTAAGATGACGGGGGTGAGGGGAGCTCCCAAGAGACCATTCTAAGAGCTGCAGCAGCCAACAAGGGACACTGGAGACATAAGTGAATCTTGTCCCAAATATAACCCTCCTGTCTTCCTATGTGTCAAATTCCTCTGCCCCCTCAGGAACAAGCTACAGAGCAAAGAGCCAGGGAAGACACAAAAGGAACATTCCATAACACAATGAAAACTGGTCAGCGAGATATCAGAAGAAACCGGTATTTTGGCCAACTAACCACTAGACAAATTGACTTGTAGCAAATTGACCTGGAGCCACTGGAACTGCAATCAGCAGACCTGGGTTTAAATCTCGGCTTCACCCTTTCTAGCCACCCGAGCTGGGGCTGTGCTACTTACTCTCTCTGAAGCTCACTCTCCTTACCTGTAAAATGTGTACGAGAATCATACCAGTATAACAATATTCACAGGGTTCCTGAGAGGAGTAGACAAGGAATGCCTCTGAACCGCTTGATACAGGGCCTGGCATAACACGGAGGGTCAATACGTGCAGAAGTGGGAACACTACGTGGAGGTGTGAGGGGAGAATCCCCTCCCCATACGCACACGTCACAAGAGAGTAGATTAAGGCTCACACCCCGTCCCCACTCAGGAAAGCACTCCCCCAGGATGTGGTGGAAGCAGCATAAACTCTGGTGGCAGCCAGACCTGGTTCAAGTCTCTCTGCACTGAATGGCCTTGGAGAATTCACTTACCCTCTCTGCCTCTTAATCTTCACAACAAAGGGTAATCCTATCTGGGTCATAAGGCTGTCGGGGAGGGTTGAATGAAGCACTGGAGGTGCAGGGCCCTAGGAGTCCCACTTCTGGCCACAGCTTCATCACCAGTCAGTATGCTGGGCAGCCTGCAGACACAGACTTGCCCTCTCTGATCAAAGTCTCTATAATACTGGGACTTCTCCACTGTAAAGCAATTATACTCCAATAAAGATGTTAAGAAAAAAAAAAAAAATACTGGGACTTCTGAACCAGCCCCTTCTCGTTCTTTAGGCCGTTCCTAACCCCAGTGCATGGCTCTTCCAGGCACCAATGAATCAGGCACTGTAAGTGGGAACAGTCACGCCCAGTGATGCTGAGACGGGGCAGAGGCTCACTGGTGACACAGAGTGAATATGGTCTGGACAGGGGTGTCGGGGGCCAAGCTCCCAGGCCAAAAACCATCTGACATTTTAGGCTGCAGGCTCAGCCCTGTAGGGGACACAAAAATAGCTTGTCCCTGAGGCACCCAGAAGCTACCAACCTCCAGGAAGGCAGATGCATGCAGGGCAGGAAACGTAAGGATTCCCGAAGCCCAGGCAAGCTGGGGTATTTGCTGAGGATGTCCCTGAGTGCTCCTGGGATGATGGGGAAACTGAGATTTGAGGTGGCTAATCAGATTTGCTGCTAGTCACCCAGCTACTAATCAGCTACCGCAGCCCTCCGTTTTCTGAAGGCCTACTGTGTGCGAAGTGCTTTCCCATTCATCATCTCAACAAATCCTTACCACCATCATTATTCCCAATGTATAGATTTGGAAAGTGAGGCTCACACAGGGGAAGGACCCTGTTCAGAATTCGAATCTCTCTGTCCCCAAACCCTCCACTCCGCTTCTCAGGACAGAGGGCGTGACCTTCCAGGACAAGGCTGGCTTGGAGTCCTCACCGATGAGGATGAGGCGGGCCGTCTGGAAGAGCTGCTCATCGCCCCAGGTGGGGTGCTCAGCCTTCAGCAGGTCACACACTCGGTTGTGCTCACGCAACCAGAGCGTGGCGTAGAGCATGAGCCCCGGAAGCAGCCCAAACACCTCCTGGCCCACTGCCATCTGGCTCTGGGGCGGGATGCCCCGGGGGTAGTGCATCAGCACGGGCGCCTCTTCCACCGATGGCGGGTACATCTCTCCGTCCAGCACCTGCAGGATGGGGCCACCTGGTAACCTGGGGAGGGGCCGGGTGCCTGCACCTGCGCAGCTGACAGCCTTCCACTCCTACTGACAGCTGCCCGTAACACGCAGGGTGGCCGCCCGGCCTCCCTGACCAAGGCCTGTGGATTCTACCTCCTAAAGTGAGTCCCTTTCTCTCTCCCCTCTGCCGCCACCCTCTTCCAACCCACCCTCATCTTCCACCCTGACTCCCCTCGTAAGTAACTCCATCCCCCCAGACAGTCCGTTCTCGGCTCTGCAGCCAGAGCAATCCTTTAAAACACCCAAATCGAGCATCACACCCTGGCTTAAAACCCTTCCAAGTCCTCTCTCTGCTCTTGGCAGAAATCAGAAATCCTTAACGCAACCCTCGCTCATTGGGAATCACTCAGGTGTCCAGCAGCATCTCCCTCATTTTCCTCCCTTGAATTCACTCAAGCTGACTTGCCCTCTCCAGCCTTGATGCCTGATACCCTGGCCTGTCCTGTGCCCTTCTTGGCCTCCCTAACTTCTCATCATCATTCATGCAACTCTTGGTTTATTCGTACTTCCTAAGGAAGCCTTCCCCAACCTCCGCACACTCTCGTGGCTTCTCCCTGGTGGCGGCTATCACAAGTGTAATTAATTATATGGCAGTGTCGTCATTCACTCAATAAATGTCCACCGAGGACCTACCATATGCCAGATACTGTTCTTAGCCCCAAAGATTCAGCAATGAACTTTCTGTCTTGGTTTTTGTTTGTTTAGATTTGCATGGTCCACTAGCTACGTGCAGCTACTAAGCTCTAGAAACGGGGTCGGTGTGAATGAGGAACTGGATTTTTAATTTTATTTTCTTTAGATTTAAATTTTAAAACAGATACCTCAGCCATTGGGAAGTCGTTATGCTTAGAACAACTTGGGCATGTGAATCTACTTTCTCAACTGTAAATTTTAGGAAATCTACATGCAGATCAGAATCTCCAACGAAAATCTGGCACCAAATTGAGATGTGCTGTAAGTGTCAGATACGGGTCAGATTTATGAAGATTTGGCACAGACAGTGAGATAGTTTATTGACAATTTTTGTGTTGATTACATGTTGAAACGATAAGATTCTGGATATATTGGGTTAAGTTAAAAATATATTATTAAAATCAATGTTGCCTGTTGCTTTTTACCTTTTTTTAATGTGGCCACTAGAAAAATCCAGATAACCTAGATGTGGCTCACAGCCATGAAATAGGGCACATGATACCTATTTCATGCAGCGGATAGGAGAAGTGCATGAGATAATTACCTATGTGGCCCTAGCACCACTGAACAGTGCGAGTTCAGACGGAAAGTCCTCATGGAACTAGCACCCTACTGTTTGTGTCTGTGGTCCCTGAGGAGCTCGAGGGTAGGGCCCATAACTCTCACGGCCACTGCTCCCCTGTGCCAGGCACGTCATAGTGCCCAATGAATATTGTAGAATAATTAAATGAATAAATGCAGGCTGGAAATGGTCATCTCCTGTGGAGCCCCAGAACCCACCTCCCAGGAGACCGTGAGAGGCTACGTCTGCTCCTTGTCTGCATCTCTTGCCTGGCACCCTTTCCCAGGGTTTGCTGTCTCTCCTCCGACCACACACCTCCAGCTTCTGCAGCTGGCCATCTCAGGACACCCTGGAGGCCCCCACCAACAGCTTCTGCCAGGGAAGACTGTGGAAGGTTCTTCCCAACGCCCCATCCCAAGACCCAGTGCTACCTGGTACTTGAGTTTCCCATCCTTAAAGAGCCGCAGGTGATACTGACGTTCCAGATTGTCTCCATAAATGTGGCCAAGGTCGACCTGAAGACAGAGAGAGGGTCCACTCAGACCTCTGGGTCCTGCCCCACCTGTAACAGCCTCCATGTGCCAAGTGCAGCCCAGAGAAGTCCCGAGCCCCTCCCAGGTACTCACCCCATGGCCCAAAGCCTTGGTGAAGCCAGGACCCATCTTGCCAGAAGTTTTGAAGAACTGATGTGTGAAGTGTTGCGCAAAGAAGGCAAACATGAGGTTGCTGCCTTGGGGGTCAGGGATGAACTTCCTCCTAAGCAGGAAGTGACGGCTCAGGAGCTCCGCATCGGGCAACTGCTTCTTCCCTGGTTGGGGAGGTGGGAAAGAGCAGTAGCTGCTTCCGGTCTGGATCCTCCTGCCTCAGGGCCCTCCAGGCTCGCCAGACCGAACTGGTCCACGCAGGAAGCCCAGAGTGGCCTCCGCAGGACCACCTCCCTCCCACATGATGGCCCCTTACACCTTCTCTACCAAAAGACTCTAAAAGTATTTATGGGTGAAATGGCATGATATCTGGAAGCTGTTTTTAAAAACTCCATAAAAAGTAAGGTGAGAGGGGATAGATGAAATAACATTGGCAAATTGTGGACAAATCTTGAAACCCAGAGATGGATACAGAGGACTTCCTTATACTTTTCTCTCAACTTTTGTGTGTGTTTGCTACTTTGTACAAGTTAACCCTCCTCCCCCTAAAAAAGAAAGAGAAAACACACAAACAGAAGAGCTTGGACTCCCCAGCCGTGGAGCAAGGCAGCCTGTGTCTGAAATGGGTTACGCCATTTACTAACTGTGTGAACATGGAGAAGTCATCCCATCTTTCTGACCCTCAATTTCTTCTTCTATAATATAGGGCAAATGACATCTATTTTATGCAGTGGATTCGAGGAGTGCCAATGTAACCGGCAGAAAACTGGTGAGATGGAATCTTTTAAACCAAGGGTCAGCAAACTTTTTCTGTACAAGTCCAGATAGTCAATATCTTAGGCTCTGCCAACAGGTGGTCTCTGTCGCATCGGCTCAGCTTGGCTGATACATCAGGAAAGCAGCCACAGTGAGATAGTTTATTAGGTGATACCTAAGGAATGTGACTGTATTGTCCTTTGTGTACTTGAAACTGAATTGATGGCTCTACACTGAGTAAACCCCCCTGTCTGAAGACAATCACAGGAGCGGATAAGGAAGAAGGTCTTGGGAAGAAGACCCCTGCCAACGAGACCAAGTGGGCGTCTTGAACAACTAAAGAAAAAATTTGACTTTATGTGTAAACTGCGCCGATGAAGCACCTAAGACTGTTTACATTAGTAAAGACCCGAACTCAGAGTTAGCACCCAGTAAATAGCTCACTATTCTTGCCTTCCTCCATTTCAACTTTAAAGTCACCCCCAGCCCAGCAGGATCCCACCCATCTAGTAGACAAGGTTCAGGCAAAGAGGCACCCTGGAAATATGGAAGCACTAGTCTGACTCTGCCGCTGACCTCAGACAAGACCCCTCCACAACCTCTTCCTGTCCTCATCCCTGGTTCTGGATATGCATATGTCTTGCCTTGGTCCACCCATCTGTGAAATGGGTCAGTAACTGCTCTTCTGCTTGTTTTTTCCCAAACAGAAGAACTAAGCATCTCCTGTGACACAGCCCAGGCCCAGCCCCCTCACCCCATCGCCATTACCTTTGGTCCCCATGGGCGTGGGACAGTCTTGGGGCACAGAGGGCAGAACACGCGTATAGTAGCTCACGTTGGAGAAGGATTCCCAGCTGATGTAGTCATGCGCTGCATTGTAGGTGGGGGGGCTGGGGATGAGGTTGGAACGCACTGCAGAGGGCAAAAATAATAGTGACAAGGTGTTCCTGCCCCCAGTTACACACCCCCTTCCCCGCCTCTTCTTGGGTTGTTCTATTTTTGGTCCCCCCATGCGGCCAAAATCTTACTTCCCCGACCAGGGATTGAACCCGCACCTCAGCAGTGAAAGCACAGAGTTCTACCCACTGGACGGCCAGGGAATTCCTTGGGTTGTTCTTTTTTTATTTGGCACCCTAGAAGCCCCCCACCCCCAACCACTGCCCTTATCATATGCCAAGAATTCCAGGAAGTGGCAGGATTTCTTGCTCCCCTAGATTAGGAGGGCCCCGCCCCCACCCACCTATGAGTACCAGACGCATGAGCATGTCCCGGATGTAGGTGGCATTGACAAACTCCCAGAACCAGCGGCCATGCGTCAGCAGGAAGTGGAGGAAAGAGGGGCTGGGCCGCAAAGTAGTCCGGAGCCAGGTCCATAGCTCAGCTGTGAGGGCAGTGGGAGCCGTTCAGTCAGGCCCTCCTGGCAGGACCAGAAGCAGCCAGAGTGGAAGATGGGGACGGGGGACGAGGGCCAGGATGGAACAGGGTAGAACCTCTGGGGCAGGGGTAAGGATGGAACCTTGGGAGTGATGGCACGTGACAGAACCAGAACCAGACCTGAGGACAGGAGACAGGACCAGGGACTGAGGTCAGTAAGGCCGGAGCTGGGCAGTGAAAACTCACTACAGAGCCCGGAAGCGGGGAGTGGGTTGTGCCAGGAGTGAGGGCTTGGGCTGGAGCCAGGTCAGGGGCAGTGTCAGAGGTCAAAGGCAGGCAAGAAAAGAGAACAGGGCCACGGGCGGAGGCGAGGGTAAGAAATGGGGGTCTTGGAGGACGAGCCCAGGGGAGAAGGATTGGGGCTGGAGGTCCAGCTCACGGATGGTGCAGTTGGGGCCGGAATAGCCCGTGCGGGTGCAGTCGCACTGGTAGCGGTCAAAGCCGAAGCGGACACAGATACCCTGGTGCTGGCATGGATAGTAACAACAGGGGTTCACTGTGGGGAGAGACAGAGATCAGAGACCACTCCAGGGCGACCGCTCGTTGGGACCAGAGGCATGGAGTCCAGTCACAGCTCTCTCCTAACTTACTGGACTCCTGTGTTCCCCAAGGGTCCTCTCTGTCCCCACAGCTATGAACAGAAAGCCCCTGGCCCTTCCGTTTCCAGACCTTGCTCTGGGTTTCCAGTCTTCCCCACATCAGGCCACCAGGGGAAGTCCCCCCCTCCCTCCCTGCTGTCACCAAAGTGGGGCAGGAGAAGAGTCCAGGCCCCAGGCTGTGACATCAAAGGCTAGGAAACAGCTGATAAGACACTGCAGCCACCGGCTTTTCTAGAGCATTCACTTTCTGCCAAGTCAGAGCTCAGCACCAAGGGCAGAGTTTGTGGGGTTCAGTAAAGGGAAAAGGATAGGGGTTCTCAGACCAACCCCCAACCTCTGGGCATCAGGACCTTCCATTCCTTTATTTTTGCAGAAGGGAAGGAAGAGCAGGTATCACAACGTCCAGTTATAGGCAGATGGGGTGAGGTGACTGAGGCCAAATAAGGGGAAACCCAGATGGGTCACCCAGCAAGTGGCACCAGACCAACTGCTCATCCCTTCACTTCCACCCCACCCCCAGACACTCAGCCGTCAAGTCCAAGGAAAGACGTTTCCCAGAACCCAGAAGACAGAGAATGGGTTTGAGGGGAGTCTCAGCTCCCGTCCTGACAGACCCAGCCCCAGCTCACATCAGGGTGGAGTATGGGCTCTAGGATCTTGAGGGAGGTCAGGCACCACGAGAACAGGAGAGATGTGGCCGGAAAACTCCCTGCAGAGGGTGAGTGGAGCTCTAGCATCACCCCCACCAACCCCCTGGAGAACCCCCCCCGCAGGAAGTCCCTCCTTGTGTCTAACCCAGATCTCCCCAAACACAGCTTCAATGATTCTCCAACAGCAAGGTCAGAGTCTCCTTGGAGCTCCCTCTGCTCGTTCACAGCTCAGCGAGGGACACCGAGGCTTGGGAAGAGGTGGCGACTTGGCCAAGACCAAGGAACAGAGCCAGGCCTCCTGCAGACCCAGGGCGCCTGGCTCCTGGCAGCAGCTCCTTCCCTGGCCTTCCACAGAAACACCAGGTCCCTCCTGCAAACACACTTCCTTAACTGGGCTCAGAGCCAATGTTACAGGGAACTCTGATTCTTTGTGCATCTGATTATAGGAGGTCGAGAGGATAGCAACAGGAGGTGGGAGGCTGAGACGCCGCCGCAGGCTGACCACCTGCCATGGTTACAGGGCAGGACCCTCTGGTTTAGGGCCCCTCACATCGCAGAATCATGCAAACAGTCTTGCTTAGGCCCTGGCAACTCCCAACAGCCCCACAATAACACCTCTGGGACCCTTGCAGGGTATAAAAAGAAGGAACCCACAGGAAGAAGTCTGAACAAAAAGGCCTTATCAGACCAACGCAGGCGGACCGGCAGGTGGGGCCCAGGGCAGGGGCCTGGCAGGGGCCACAGGCCCAGAAACGCCAGGGAGCTCAGGCTCAGCCGTGCAGCGGGTTCAGGGACCTGGGATCTCATCGATCCCTCCTGCTCAGGACACTCTGCTGTTCTGCCCAGGAGCTCCCGCGGTGCCACACTGCCCAGCTCCCCACCCTGGCGCACCAGGCCCTCTGTCACAAACGGGTCGCCCTACCACTCAGCGGGCACAGGGGCTGAGGCGCGGCCCTTCTCTGGGCTGTCTCCCCATCCCTCCCCCAGTAGGGATCCCAAAAGGAACTCAGTTTGTTCTGCGGCAGCAGATCCCGCGACCCCAAAGCCGAAAGCTCTGCTCTGCTCCCTCCTTGACCCAGGCTGCGGCTCTGCCCTAGTAAATTTCCTCCGGATCTACCTGACACTGCCCACTGCGCATGCACCAGAAAGCTGCCCCCTAAGTGTCCACACTCCACCGCGCTCTCTCGCCCCTGCTCCACGTTCCAGCTCGACCTGCTCTGCTCCACCACGAGCCTCCAAGGAAAAGGGCTTTCCCTGACTTTCTCCTCCCTCACAGAGGCCATGCACACAGCTGGGGCTCAACCCATGTCCTGGAGAGATCCAGCCACCCAGGGAATCCAGATGCGGTGGCCAGAGCTTCAATGTTTGCGGAATTTAAACTGCAGCGAGGAGACCAGCCAGCCCAGGCTTGGCCAGAGAGACTCCCTGATCTCCCCAGCACCCCCACAGCTGGCTCTGAAGTCTGGCTTGAGGGCTTCAGCAGGCAGCAGAACTGTGTCCCCAGACGCAGAAGTTCCTGCCCGCATCCCTCTCCGTCTCCTGTCAGGAGAGTCTGTGTGCCGGGCGCGGGCAGAGGTCCCTCCCTCCCAGACCTGCTGCCCAACTTTCCCTCCCTCCTCTTCCGCGATCTTTCCATAAACACCGGCGGCCCCACGGCAGGGAAAGTTCTTCCCAGCAAGGATAGCAGCTGCCGCTGGCGGCCCCATGATGTCAGGATGGGCAGAGAGGAGACTAGGCGCTGCTTCCCCCGCTTCCCCGGGGAGGGGAGCCTAACCACAGCTGGACGGTCACGATGTGCCGGGAAGCCAGGGCTCTGGCTGACCCTCCAACCTTGCATATCTACCTCGTTTATCTGCTCAGCACTCCCTGGTGGGTGGGTGAGACTCCCCCTACCCCTGCCACCCCCACCCCCGCCCCAACCCTGCCACAGATGAGGAGGCGTGCCCAGGCCCCACTGCTTCAAAGCTGCAGAGCCAAGATGAACTCCCTTCTCTTCCCTGCCCTTCCTCCTCCTGGAGGTGCCCAGGCCTGGATTTGGGGAAGGGATGCAGAGGGAGAGTCACTTTGTCCCACAGGCTGGGGATGACCCCAGGTGAGATAGGTTTGTCACCTTTCCTTCAAGGTGGACCTGAAACCAGGACCCCAGAGGGAGCGCCATCCCCTACCTCGACCAGAGCTCTGGGAACTATTCACAAAGGAAGGCCTTCCTTCAGTCTAACTTAAATCCCACATGCTTTCATGTGCCCAGCGGAGGACACCCTGTATAATAAAACATCAAGAAAGAGAACTAGGGAGATGCAGACACAGAGTCTAAAGTGCCTGGAGTTCCCACACCCAGCACAGGGCGAGGCACCAAGTCGGTGCTGGGTGAAGCTTTATGGGAGAGTGACTACTCTTTATTGGCTGTGTGTCCTTGGGCAAGTACCCTGTACCCTCTGGGCCTTATTTTTCAGCGTTTTCCAGGAAGGGGAGGGAACAGACAGGCTCTAAGGAAAAACCTGCCTCTCTGCCTCCCCTTCTCTTCTCAACTCTGGGCGGAGCCAATCTATCTCCAAATATCTGGGTTATTTGCATCAATAGGAATCCCTAGCCCCATCAGCAGAGAACCCTGCAGCTTGCTCTCACTGCGTCTTCAAGCCAGCCCAGAGGTGGGGTTGACCAGCAAGCCCACACTGCACACATTCCCACCGATGAGGAACTGTTTAGGATTTCCCGGCTCCAGAACTTTCTGAGGACCTGGCAAGGAAATGTCCCCCAGCCCAGGAGTCAGGGCTCCAGGCACAGTGAGGGAACACCAAGTCGTCAGGACTTGGAAGCACCAGGCAGCAAGAGGGCCCGTTAAAGAAGGAGGCTGGACTGAAATTCCCTAAGAATAATATTTAGAGAAGCTCCAGGAGCTTGGCAGCCAAAGAGAAAAAAAAAAAAAAGGGGGCCCTCACCAGCCAGACCTGGGCCCCAGGCCCTACACCCTACCAGGTCAGCGGCCAGCCGCCAGGCACCACCGCAGCGGGCCCCGAAGGCTGGAAGAGGAAGTCCTCTCCCAGCCCACAGACTCCTCTGGTGCTGCAGATAGGAGGCTGCAGTCAGCAGGAAGGTTTGGCACAGGCGGGGTTCCTGCCCCACGTTCCAGGGTTAGCTGGCCTCAGGCCCCTCTGCCTGGCATGGAGCTCCGGTTGCCAGGTCATGCCCTATCCCTAGCCAAAGAGAGGGCACTAAGCCCAGTCCAGGAACTGGAGGGGATGAACTTGAGCATTAAGGAAGCCCTGGCACATCCCTGTCCTCCAAGCCGGACTCCACCTCGTCCGTCACAACAGAGGCAGAAGCAACATTCCCTCCCGCCACCTGCCCCCATGTAAGCTTGCAGCCCTTGTCTCCTGGGGGAATCAGCCTTTGCTGCTGCTCTGGGGACAAAACACAGGCTTTGGCTTTCCAGGGCAGACGCCTCCCCTGAATATCCAGGCATCTTGGACCTCAGTTCACCCAGAGGCGTGGAAATGGGAAGGCAGCCCAAACCTTCTGCCCCAAAACCCAACTGCTCCTCCGCTCTTTCCCTGACCCTTGCAGCGGCCTCCTTAACGGTTCCCCAGCCTCCAGCTTCACCTCCAAGTCATCCGCCCAATCTCACTCTTCTGTTCCCAGTTACCCTGAGGCCCCAGTCCCTCTCCTCATTCTGCATCTAAAGGCCCATGTCCACCAGCAGCTGCCTCTGTCCTACTGCTCCCTGTGCGCCCTTCCACTCCCACAGTTCAGACCTTTAGGCTTCAGCTCATGCCCTTGCTTCTGCCAGGAAGACCCCTTCCAGAGTTTCATAGTAAAACCTCACAGGATTTCCACCAACTCACCACCTCCTTCGGGGTCCCGGTCAAACGTCACCACCTCCAAGAAGCCTCCCGAAATTCTTCACATGTAAGGGACGAGAGATAACTGCCCCCCACCCCCGAGCCCCACACACCCCTGTGCTTCCCTCAGTCATGGCCCTGACCCCCTTGGATGACAGTCTGTGGGCATTTCTATCTCCTCCACCAGACTGCGAGCTCCTCCCAGCTCTGTCTCCAGGCTGCAGCCAAAGACTGGCATAAAGCAACCCCCTGGGGATGTTTGTGGAGTGAAGAAAACAATTCTGTTTAAACACAATATAAAGATAAGTAGAAAAGGCTAAAAGCAAAATGGCACAGACCATGGCTCACTAAGTACTGGTAAACAGACACAGGAGGACAGGCAGGGTGAGCCCTGGGTACCCTGGGGGCCTGGATGGGGCTTCAGAGGAAGTGCTGGGCTGATCCAGGGGCTAACAAAAGGGGCCACTGGGTCAGCCTAGTCAGCCTCGGCTCTGCTACTGGGGTGTCAGACAAATGGGCTCACCCCTCTGGGCCTCAGAGTTCCTTTCTGTAGAATGGGACTAACATCTCCCTGGCAGGGCTGTTGTGAGCACCAACAACAGAGGTGCCCACAGCCTGGTTTTGTAAACTGTAAAGTGCTGGCCACGTGGGTCTTCCTCCTCTTCTTCCCACAAACTAGACCTTTGCTCGTGCCCAGCATCCTCCATCCTTTCCTTGACTCCCCAAATGCCATCCTCTCAAACCCTCTCCTCCAGGAAACCTGGTCTGATTACCAGTTCACACAGGTACCCTTTCTCTCTCCTCTGAGCATCACAACAGAAGGCTCAGATCCCCTCCCCACCATCCTCTGTTGACCCCATTTTGCAGATGGGAAATGGAGACACAGAGCTCACACAGCTATGTGATGAAGGAAGCTCTGTCCAGACCCTGCACACACACACACACACACACACACACACACACACACACGCACGCACACACACGCACGCACACACACAAGCAGTAAGCTGGGGGAGGGAGGCCGTCTGAAGGAGGAACTGCAGTCCTTCACCTGGAACCTGGTACATGCATGGTGGAGGGGGAGGAAGGTGTGAATTTTACAGGACCTGACTTTTCCCATCTTCTTTGGGGTGATGAAACCAGGGTCCATTGGCAGGGGGTGAGAAGGGCAGGGAGGACTCTGAGGAAAGACCCTGAAAAATGCCTGGAGTCAGGTAGATCCAGCTTCCAGCCCTGAGCCCACCATGCACTGTGTGAGCTTGAGAGGGTTATAGCCCCCACCTGAGCCTCAGTTAACTCATCCGCCCAGTGGGGACCTCACAGGTGAGGATTTAAACCTCAGGGGAAGCAACCCAGCCCCGTAAGTGTATTTCCACCTCCACTCTCTCCGGAATGGCTGGTGTACCCCGGGTTCTCACCGAGGGAGATCTTCTCCACCGGGGCTGGGAATCCGGAAGGGTACCAGAAAGTTAGAGGCTGGAGAAAGAGAACCCGCCAGCCCGCCTTCCCCTGGAGCCTGCTGCTTCCTCCGAAAGTGGCCCGCAGGGGAAACAGCGGGATTGTTGGGGATGAGCTTGGACCGCTGGGGGCCCAGAACAGGTGAGGGCCTGGAGAGAGGCTGTCCCTTTTCCCAAAGCCGGCCCGAGATCCCAGTCTGCCCTTTCCCCCCGAAAAGAACCCAGTGGCGTCCTAGCCAAAGCCACACCCCCCGGGGGTCTGCAGAGAGCCCCCATCCCACCGACAGACTCAGCCCCCTCCCCACTCCCAGGCACCGCGAGCCGAAAAGGGGAAGTTGGGCCGGCCGGAGGGAAGAGGCGGGTGGGGGCCAGGCCAGGGACGCAGGACCTGGGGCTCTTCGGGGGCAGGAAAGGGGCCGCCTACCCGGCGCGGGTGCCCCGGGGGCCGCAGGCAGGACGGCGGATGGCGGCAGCAGCAGCAGAAGCAGCGGGAACCGAAGCGAGACACTCCGCCCTGCAGAGGGAGAGAGATGAAGGGCTGAGCCTGGCATTCAAGGCTCCACCAGGAGGCAAAGGGGATTCTGGGGCCACCAGGGCCGGACTTACGGCTCATGGTGCAGGGCGGTTGATGGATGCGGGATGCGGACTGCCTGCTCCTTGGGTGCGTCTCTAACTGTGCCCCGGAGCTCTGGCCCGCCTGGCCCGCCCCTCCCCACCCATTCCCTGGCTCCACCTCTCTAGCCAGCTGTCACCTCGGCCTCCGCCCACTTACTTCCTCTGCTCCCGCTCCAGCCAAGATATTTTATTAATTATTCTATGACGGACACTAAGGTGGTTTTTCACCCGAGATCCGTGAGACACTGGAGCCTTTAAAACCCAGTAGCACCAGAAGTGTGTCCATTTGGTTGATAAGAAACTGAGGCCCGGATATGGTGTGCCATGCTGAGGGCCCCCAGGGCTTCAGGGCAGAACGGCTGGTATCTCAGCCTAGAAACGTCCGCTCAGAACCACATAGCCTCCCCCCACCCCCACCGCTACCCCCAAGCGGAAGGAGGATGGAAAAGGAGCAGTCCAGGCGGGCCTGCACACAGTCTCCGGGATGGGAAACCCACTACCCTCAGATCCAACAGGGAGGATGGGCTTCCGCCAAGGGCTGGGCTCTGCCCTCTAAGGTCCCGCGTCTCTGCCTGAGCCTCTACTGCCAGAATGAAGAGCATAGACTCCAAGTCCAGGAGACCTAATTCAAATCCAGCCTCTACAGCTTACTAGCTGTGTCTCCTTGGACCTGGTACTTAACCTCTCTGGTCCTCAGTATTCTCTTCTATAAGACGTGGATGCTAATAAGACCCATGCCAGAGAACTGTTGTAAGATCCCGTAAGGTAATGCCCACAAACTCCCTGAGGCGGTGCCTAGCACAGAGTAGGTGATCTGTCATCATGAGGCATTCTTTTCAAAGATCTCCTGACTCAGGTTCCAGGGTGGCCAGGGTGGAAGCTCCAGCTGGACTCACATCTATCTGCCTACTTTATAGAATCCCAGCACTCAGCTCCTCTTTTTTTGTAGCTGGGGAAACTGATCTTCGAAGGGGGATGCGCCCTGGGTCACACAGGGTCTCCTGGTCCCCACATCCACAGATTTTCTCCCTCAGTTTCCCCCCAACACCCAGCCATCCTGTGGGCCCCAGAGAGTGGAAGGGCAGGCAGGAGGGCTCAGAGGTCCGTATGTGGGCTCCCAGACATCCCTGGGTACAGAATGGGAACCGTGTGAGTTGGGAGAAGTGAGGCCTACAGGGGATCCCCTCCTATGTCCCCACCCTAGCTGTTCACATGCTCCACTGGGACAAAAGCCAGCTGCCCCAAGGAGACAGAGCAAGCCAGGGCAGATGCGGGCGGGAGTGGAGCAAGTGGAGGGCCTGGGGCCCTGGGGTGCTGGGGAAGTCTGACCCACCACCCAGATCCAGAGCCCCCGGTGACTACCCAGGCAGGGCGAGGAGACATAAGGCATGGATATCAGCCAGAGGGGTGGGGGCAGGGTGAGATTCGGGGGTCCAGTTACCCAGACTAAAGGGGGATTTCTGGTGATGAAAAAAGAAGAGTTTGGATGAGGCCCCATCTTCACTCCCAGGTCCTCCCTCCCTTCAGACCCTGAGCCCAGGCATTTCCCAGGCCTGTACCTCCTGCTGACTGCTCACTCCCAAGCCACTCTCCTGAACTCAAAGGAACAGCACCTGTGTGGCCCTGGCACTGAGAAAAAGAGCCTGCAAGTCAGAAGGACCAAGTTCAAGTCTCTCCCGCGGTTTGACCTCAGACAAGTGTCTGCACCTCTCTGGACTTCTGCTTTCCCATTTGAACAATGTAAAGATCAAATCAGATGGTTTCTGAGAACAGGCATGGAGGGATTGAGCCCTCACTGTGGCCAGGCTCTGTGACCACTGCTGGAGATCTCGCAAAGGATGCAGTGAAGGAGAGGCCAGAGGCAAGATGGTAGACAGGGTGCCTGTGCAGCCCCCCAGGGACAGGACTGCACCAAGAGGGGGCATGGGGGAGGGGAAGACAAGAGAAATGGTGGCAAGAGCCTGGTGACCGATTGGCACTAGAGCTTCAGGGAAAAAGAGGTGTTCAGGAGGGCACCTAGGTTCCTGGCTTGACGCTGGCAATAATACGCAGGGAGGGAACGAGGGATGGGGCGCAGGCTGGGGTAGGCGGCACTCGAATTTGGACTCACGAGCTTCCCTCGTGGCGCAGTGGTTGAGAGTCCGCCTGCCGATGCAGGGGACATGGGTTCGTGCCCCGGTTCGGGAAGATCCCACATGCCGCGGAGCGGCTGGGCCCGCGAGCCATGGCCGCTGAGCCTGCGCGTCCGGAGCCTGTGCTTCGCAACAGGAGAGGCCACAACAGTGACAGGCCTGTGTACCGCAAAAAAAAAAAAAAAATTTGGACTCACTGTGTTTGGTCTCTCTCAGTGGCAGGGTCTGTATGCAGCTAGATACACAGAGAGGGGTCCAGGCCAGCCCTTGCCCCAGCCCTGGGAAAGGCCATAGCATAGGGTCACTTTCCCTGTCCGTTTACTCCAAAGCCTATAGCTTCCATATCCAGGGAGTTTTCCTAACCCTCAGAATGGTGAACGTCCATTCATTGCTCAAGGCCCGGCTCTGTGTCCCCAGGGAAGCATCCTCTGGCACACCTCTTCCTCTTTCTGTCCTCTGAGGAAACTCCTATGTCACCCCTGGTCACAGTGGGCAGCATGCTGGATTGTGTGGTCCCTCTCTCCCTTAATTAGGCTGCAAGCATCTTGGTCAGTCACATATCCCCAGGGCAGAGTGCAAGCTCTGGCATATAGAAGGCACCCAGCAAATGTTGGTTCATTGAATAAAGAAGTGAATGAGTACCTGTATGAGTGACTGAATTCGTGAAAAAATATAGACCTTCTATGAGTGAGTAAGGGTCCAGGGCCAGCCTCATCAAGGTGACTGCCACCCCCATCCATCTGCTGTGACAACTACAAAAAGTGTCAGTACTCTGCCTCAGTTTCCCTGACCTTCCCAGCTGGGCCCTTGGCCAGCACCCTCAACACCCTCACAGGCCCAGCTCCACCCCAGGCCCTGAGCCCCTCCCAGCTAAGGTGGCCAGGACCCCCTTCCCTACACCCTGCTCCCCCCACCCAATCCCCCTGACATGGGGTGGGGTTTCCCTCTGCACACCCCCCCACCCTGGGCTCCACCCCAATCACATGCTCTCCTGGCAACTCTACTCGGGGAGTTGGATTTTAAAGCTCCTGGAATGCTCTCACCCCTGCTGTGTCCCACCCACTATTTGGAAATCCGGAGATGACTCTTACCTGAATCACTCGGGGGCCCAGCCCCACCCAGCCCCACCTCTGGAGGCAGCTTCACAGCCAGACAGGAAAGCTCTGGAATCAGCCCAACATCTCTTCAAATTCCCCTCCCCATTTCTGACCAGTTTTCAGTGTGACCTTAGGTAGCCAACTGCCCTTCTTGGGTCTCAGTTTCCCCATCTGTAAAATGGAGTTCATAATTCCATTCTCGTAAGAGTTACTGTGAGGACAAAATAAGATTACGTGCATGACTCTGAGCAAGATTATAGGCATGACCAACCTCCAGTAGGAACTCAATGTTAATTCTTTATCTGCTCTCCCTAACATTCCCTATCTGAGCAGGAGGGTTTCATGCAAAGTTCACGTCCTCTTCTTTACCTCCTCAGTGCCAGGCTGAGGTTGGGCATTGGTGGTAATAATAATGATGGTTAATATTTCGAGTACCTACTGCGGGCCAGGCAGCGTGCTGTGTATTTCACATGCACTATCACATGTAATTTTCTCAACAGCCCTACACAGTATTATCACCTCCATTTTACAGAGAAAGAAACTGAGGCCCAGAGAGCTGACATGACTTATCCAAGGTTGCACAACTAGTAAGGGATAGGTTTCAAGGCCCAGTCCCTTTATTCTGAAATACCAGGTACCACATAACCTAAGCCCCAACAGAGCTAGCCAGTGTTTGGAGTTAGTTAAGAAGAAATGGGACTTCCCTGGTGGCGCGGTGGTTAAGAATCCGCCTGCTAATGCAGGGGACACGGGTTTCAGCCCTGGTCCGGGAAGATCCCACATGCCGCGGAGCAAACTAAGCCCGTGCACCACAACTACTGAGCCTGCACTCTAGAGCCCGCGAGCCACAACTACCGAGCCCGCACGCCTAGAGCCGGTGTTCAGCCACAAGAGAAGCCACCGCAGTGAGAAGCCTGCGCACCCCAACGAAGAGTAGCCCCCACTCGCCGCAACTAGAGAAAGCCCGTGCGCAGCAATGAAGACCCAATGCAGCCAAAATAAATAATTTTTTTTTTTAAAAAAGGAGGAAACAGAAATGCACTGTTGGGGGTGGCGGTGTGGGGCGTTGGATGGGACAGAGATGGGGGAGGCTAGGGGGTCCAATTTAAGCAGCATAGTTCAGCTGAGAAGCTAAGCACCTAGAATCACAAAATGTTTTCACATCTCACATTGAAATCCTCACAACAGCTCCAAAAGGAAAGTATTAAGCATTATCCCCATTACGCAAAAGAGGAAACTGAGACACAAAGATTTCCCTAGACTGTGCGGTGAAGAGCACATGCTAAGGGGTTTTGGTGCAACGTCTCCTTTATACTTTATAACAGCTCCATGAGATAGATTCTCTTCTTGTCTCCGTTTTTGTAAACAGGAAAACTGACCGCTAAAGGCCACGGGCTAGCAGATGGCAGAGCTGGAATCAGAGCTCTGGTCTGTTTGATGTCAAGTCTACAGCGTAACTCCCTGCTGCACTCCATCCCTGGCTCTCTTGGATCCCAAGCCATCTGAGTAATCTTTGAGGATCAGACATCAGCTCCTGGGATCTGGGGGCCCAGACGCCTGTGACTGAAGAGCTGGAGGAGCTGGGGAAGAACCACTGTCTTGTGAAGGGAAGATAAATGCTCCGGGGGTTGCTGGGGCGAGAAAATATCAGTCCCTGCGTCCCCCTCCTCCTCCACCACAGTTGAAGGGGAGCTGTTTCTATGGTCCTCCTTTGGTAGTGGAATACTCTCCTAACTCTGCTGAGAACCATCAATAGCTCCCACGGTCCCCAGCCCTTAGCCTGGCCTTCAAGTCTCCTCTTTCCCTGAGCAGCAGGACGTCATAGAAAGAGCCCTGGAATGGAGGCCCCGAAGGTGTGGTCCTTGGGCAAGTCACTCTTCTCCCTCCTGGACCTCAGTTTCCCAACTTACTAAATAAGCCTGTTGAATTAGGGGTGCTGAAGGAGGGGAACAGGGGTCTCGGAGTCAGGAGGCACTGGATTTGGAGCCCAGCTTCCATATTCAATATTGCGGCCAGTCATAGTCATCTCTGAGGTTAAGTTTCCTCATCTGGAAATGAGGACCATAATAATATCTATTCCCTGGGACCATTATGAAGATAAAACCACTCAACTCAATCTCTGGCACTCGGGAGATACTTGGTAAATGATGCTTACTGGTGGAATTATTATTAGTAGTAGTATTAAATAATTAATATTAATTAATAATTAATTTGATTCAGTCAGTGTGGTCCTAGATGTGAAAAAAACTTGTTCTGGACACCAAAAAGAAGTTAAGAGAGAATGGTTGCAGGCAGGTGCTAGCTTAGCGTACTAGGAATGCATTTGCCTGCCCATAGCAAAGTCCCAAATATGGCAGCTTAAACAAAAAAAAAAAAAAAGGAAGAGGATTCTTGTTCTGGAATGACAGGCCAGAGGTAAACCGCCCAGGCCCTTTGGCTGCTGGAGAATGCCGTCAGGAGGCCAGGCTCTTTCCATCTTTCTGTTCACTCTCAGAATGCGTTGTGTCCGCCAGCCTGTGTTCCAGGCAGGAAAGGATAGAAAGGGCAGAGGCAGCCCCAGCTGAGTTCCAACCGCATCTCTTTCACCAGAACTGTGTCATGTGACCTCGCCTGCCCGCAAAGGAGATTGGGAAATTGAGTTTTGGAGATTAAGCAGGGAGGGATAGGGATTTGGGAATGGAGATGGGGCCAGCTGTGTCTGCCGGACTCAGAAGAGTCTCTTTCTGGTGTGGGCTGTGGTTTCTGATGTGTGGCTTCTCCAGAGAACCCAAGAACATGTATGTGCTGCTGACTCCAGAGGTGAGCAGACCTTGCTTGGCCCAGAAGAGGGTCTGAGAATTGCAGAACCACAGCAGGTCAGAGACAGGCACTCCCTGAGACAAGGTCCAACCCAGCACCACTCAGTGTCAGACTCGGAGGGTCAGAGCAGGGCAGGGGCTTGCCCAAACCGGCCAGGCTCTTTCCTCTGTGTCCTATGGCCTCTCGTGACCAACCTTGGAACAATTCACCCATGAAACAGTGGTGCCCCAACGCAAGGACATCTCATCCTCTGAAGCTCTGCACCCAATGAACTGAAAACGCAGGGGGCAAGAATTCCCACTTCCAACCAACTCTTCAGTTCCCAGGCAAGAGCCTTAGAAGTCCATTTTCTGGAGCCTTTCGGATAGAACTGGACTGACTCATCACTCACATGGCATGTGTGCTCCTGCTTTAGCACCTCAGGAATAACTTACCATCATTCAGCCGTACACAGCTTAGAAAAACATTCTCACTTACATCACCTTCTCTTTTGATCCACACAGAAACCTTCTGACGTAGGTGTTTTAGCCCCTGAATAAGCCAGGGTTGGCTCTATGACAACCTGACAACAAAATCGATTCCAACTGCTTTTGGCAAAAGAAGGAGAAGAGTTGGCTCCCAAGCTGAAAAAGTGGGGACAGGTATGGCTGCATCCAGGTGTCAGGCTCCCCCCCCCCCCTCTGTCTCCGTCTGTCTCTGTCTGTGTGACTCTCTGTCTCTCTCTCTTTGATCTTTTTTTCCCTTCTTATTGGCTTCACTCTCAGGCAGGTGCTCCCCACGCACTCGGGCAGCTCCAAACTTACACGGTCCTAACATTCTGATCCCATATGAAGAGGATCTCTTTCCTGGACACTTCTGATTGCTTTGGCTTAGCTCACGTGCCCATCCCTGAACCAAAGGCTGTGAGCAGGAGGACGGAACATCCTGATTCTAACCGGCCAGTCCTAGACCATGCGCCCACATGAACTGAGAATGAGAGAGGGATGTTCCCCCAAAAGCAAACTGGATACAAAGGAAGAGGGAAGGGATGCAGGCCAGGCAGAGGCAACTGACGTCCACCAGCATTCCGCTTCCCCATGTGACAAACGAGGAAGCCAAGGCTCAGAGAGGTAAATGACTTTTGCCTGAAACCTCAGGGCTGGTAGGAAGGGAGGCTCTCTTGCCTTTGGCCGTGAGCCTGGATGGAGAGAAGAGGAAAGGGCTATGGGGGTGAGAGGTCCCCTGCCTTTCCGGAGCCTGGCAGGCTTCAGAGCCGCCCGGAGAGGGAGGGAGAAGGGTTTGGAGGGATGCTGGAATCCAAAGCTGCTTCTCCCCCTACTTCCTGGTGTTTGCTTAAGCAGGAAAGGATGTTCATGTCTGTTGAACGACCAAGGCTTGCCAGATACCTCTGGGCACTTCGCAGACCACGTTTTTCAGAGTTGAGGCTCGCAGAGGTGAAGCGACTTGTCCAAGTCACAAAGTCTTGGAATGTCAGGGCTGGGACTCAGTCCAGGTCTGGAATGACTCCACAGCCAGTACTGCTTTCTTGAGTGTTTCTCAACAGGGCACTATTGACATTTTGTGTAAGATTTCCCCACACAGGGCAGGAAGTTTAGCCGGCTAATGGTAAGCTCAGTCACGGCATCAACCAAAAATTGCTCCATGCATTTCTAACCTCCTGCGCTCCCTCTAGGAGGCTACATCTGCCTCTGGATGAGAACCAGAACACCGTGCTGACCGAGCCTGGCGCTCTTCTGTGGACTCAGGGCCTGACACAGAGAAAGCACTTAATAAGTGTTTGATGAATGAACAAATGAAACATTCTGGAGTCAAAGAGGACTAGGTACGAATCCCAGCTCTACCACTTACTAGCTGTATGGTGTCGAGCAAGTCACTTAACCCTTCTGTGCTCAGTTTCCACATCTGTAAGATGGGGAGAACACCAGCACCATCTTCAGAGGATTGTTATAAGGATTCAACAAGTGAATTCTTATAAAATGCTTAGGACATTGCCCGAGGCTTAATGAGCTCTATATCACTGTTTCTTAAATAAATGAGCTAATAAATGAATGACTATCTCTTATACACACACACACCCAATCAGGAGTATACAGTCTACAAATACTTTCATACTTGTTATCTCATTTGACTGTCTCCCTTACTCTATAAAGGAAGGTTATGCACATTTTACAGATGCGGAAACTCACTTAAGAGGTGAGGCAACTTGGCTAGGGTCTTCCAGTTGTTCAGTTGTCGCTCCAGAATTTCACACTCTGGCTTCTCTGTATTTTCCACCCCCTGCAAATACACACTTTTAAGCCATGAGTGAACACGTGAAGGCTCTCAGAGGGCCTGGACAGGCAGGGGCCGACCTGCCCCGGAAGCTGTGAAGAACCACTTTCTCGTCTATCCAACCTGGGGCTCTCTCATGGGGCTGCCCATGCTCTGTGTGTGTGTGGGGGTGTGTGTGTGTGACTCACCAAGGGGTTGGGGAGCGAGGAGGCCCAGCCATGCAGCCAGGACTGCAGGACCACAAGAAAGAATTAGGTGGTGAGTGAGGACTGGCCAACTGCCTGCCCACAGCCTCCCACTCTCTGAGGAGAGGAACACTGGCTCTGAGGACACCCCAGAAGCCCCAAATCTAAACCCTCAGGACAGGAACTGGGTGTCTCCCAGGGTATCTAGCACCCAGCACACAGGAGTGACCTCACTGCTCTGTGATTCCTTTCAAATTCACTCCATCCATCCTACAGACACTCATGAGATGGCATCTTGGCCAACCTCCAGATGGGCTGCTGGAGACTTCTGCTCTCAAGGAGGTCTCAGATAATGGGGTGAGCCTCAGAGGAACAAAAGACAGAGAATGGGGTACTGCTGGGGATACACACACACACTTGGGCACATACATATATGCAATGAGATTCCGTTCTTTCCATGCCAAGATTCAAGTCACAACTTTAGTGAACCTCCATAGCGGTGGAAGCGTAGAGCGGTAGAAAGCTGGAGAAACACTGGGATGGACCACATCTCAGTTACTTCCCTTCACCAGGCCTCTCCTTGTTGGTCTCTCACTTCACCTTTCTTCCCTGGCAGCAAAACTTACATTATGCTGGATCTGGAATCCTCCTTACTCCTGTCCACTTGGAACCTTTAACTTTCTTATCCAGACCAACCCAACCTAATTCAGCTCGACCCACCTCAACTCTCCTAAATTCAACTCAACACAGCTCAACTTATTTCCACCCAATCCACCCAAATCCAACCCAACCCAATTCAACCAAACTCCGCTCCACTCCACTCAGCCCAAACCAACCCATCTCAACACAACCCAACTCGGTTTAACTCTACTAAATTCAATTCAAGGAACATCAGCTCAGCTCAGGTCCACTCAGCCAAACCCAAATCCAGCTCTATTCAATCCAACCAAACTAAATTTTATTCAACCCAACCCACCCCAGCGTGACATAACACAACTCTACTCCACCCAAACCAAACTCAACACACTCAACCCAACTCAACACAACTCAACTCAACTTCCCTACCCAGCTCGATTCTTCTCCTTTTGCATCTCCTCTTTCTGTCTGACACTAAATACTTGCTTCCCAATCCTCCCCCATTGGCAGATTCCCTATCCTTCCCTAAATAGTGAGACACTGAATTAATACCTGATCTAAAAGAAGATGGGAAAAGTTTCCTTTGGACTATCTACCTCCTTGCTTTTCTCCCTGTGCTAACCACATCCCCCTACAGATAATAACCTTCATTTCTGACTCCCCACCACTTACCCCTCCCCTTTCATGAAACCCCGAGGCCATGAATCCTCAGAGACCTCAAGCCTGTGTGGGCTCTCAGCCCTGCACACCCTGCCCCCAGGGAGGTGAGGACATTTAGATTGGGCAGCAGGGAGGGTCCCGGCCCCAGAAGAAATTTGATGGGCAGAAGAGGGACCACCAGACCTGGGCACCTTGCAGGCAAAAGTAGGATCTGGCTTGACCCCCAGGGAGCAGAGGCTCTGTCACTGGCTTTCTGCCCCATCCACCGAGCCCTCTTTCCACTCCTTTATGGCCCTGCCTTCCTTTTCCTGCCTTATCGCTCAGTCTTCGTCTCTGTATCTCTGTCTCTCTCTGTCATTATCTCTCTGTGTGGGTGGCCCTGTCTCATCATCTCTATCTTGGACGCTCTCTTCCTCTTTTACCATCTTGTGTTGCTAGCCTTCCTCTTGCTGACTCTCCTGTCTCTGTTTGTATTTCTGGTACAAGCTGCTTCATGTACTAAGCTGTAGCTGGGGAGTTGTTTCTCCCTCCATCCCCTCTGCCTCTTCCCGAACCATAGTCACCCCAGGCTGCCTGGGAACCACTCAGGCTGCTGAGTCGGGCCTGAAGCTTCCCATGCATGAGGTAAAACTTCTTTCCTCAGAAGGAAAGAAATCAGAACCACACACCCTAGAGTTAGAAGGGAATTTAGGCCAATCGTCCCATTTTATGGATGGGGAAACTGAGCCCCAGAGGCTGCAGGGGGCTTGCTCAAGATCATTCAGAGTTAGCAGAGTGAGAGTGAGGCCCTCCTGAGCTGGAGACCCCAGACTCTGAACCTAGAGGAGGAAGGTGGGGGACCAGACTGGCTGGGAGGTGGGTGGGAGGACAGTACCACCTACCCCAGAAGCCATCTCCAAGACCAAGAGAATTACGTGCCTTCCCACAGCATCTCAGAGCAGTGTCTCCCTGTCTGTCAGTCTGTCTGTCTCTCTCTTAGTAAAGTGTATTCCCTGGGGGGGTAGGGAGGGCTAGAAAGGAGACAAGAGGCAACCGGGTTGCCCCTCTAGTGAGGGTCATTCACCACTGACCCCGACCTTTCCCACCTCTTGAGGTCGGGACCCAACATGGCACAAAAGCACAATTCTGAGAGCACAACGGGGAAGGCTTCATGGGCCCAGGGGAGAGGAGGAAGCCAGGCTTTGGCCTCCTGCAAGACAGCCACAGCCTGTGAGGGTCAGGGCTGGGGTTTTAGCCAGACTGAATCCAGAATCCAGCCATTAGGCCCTTGGCCACAGGCTCCCAGCCCAGCCAGGCACAGCCCCCCAAGACCGTCCTGGTCTCCGTCAGGGTGAGCCTACAGGCCCAGCGCCAGGACTGCATTCCTCTCTGGCCGCGCCCCCCATCAGCCTCCTGGTCAGTCCAGGCTCCAGCAGGAAGCAAGCGAGGCCCAGCCAGGCAGACGGCCCTGCTCCAGCCCAGAAGCGAGGCCCCAGTTCTCTCCTCCTCAGCCATGGCTGGCTGTACCTCTAACTGCTCTGAGATGCTCCCTTAGCAGCTCAGAGTTCCTGGGCAGGCACTGGCCAGTCTTCCTCAGAATTCTAGGTTGTCTGAAAATAGAAAGGAGAAGAGAAGTCTGTGGTCTGTGTGGGCAGAGAGAAGCTGAGAAGGAGAGGCGTGGGGGAGGAATGAGTTTCTAGGCACATGGACAGACACCACCAGGACTGGCTCTGACCTGACCTCTGGTACCCTCCACCCTCCTCCCTGAAGCCTCCACTTCCTGCCTCTCTGTAGAAAGGGCCCAACCCTCCACTGAACAGATCAGGAGACTGCGGCCCAGAGGGGGAAGCAGTTTGCCCGAAGACACGTGGCAGAGAAGCGGCCAGAACCCGGGGCTCCTGGTCCTGAGACCCAGCTCCTTCCCCAGCAGGCTCTCGGGGTGGAGTTCGTTATGGGCTCCTAGCTCACCCCATCCGCACAAGAGGCCAAATTCAGGCAGGTCAGTCCCCACGTGAATTGCCCCAACCCCAGGAGTGCCCTGGTGCTCAGAACCCCGAGCTCGGGCACCTCCTGAACTTGCGTTGGTGTCAGAAGTGAGGCAGTTTGTGTGCAGACTGTGACCTCTGACCTTGTAGTTGGCCCCAACTTACTGCAGCTTCATTCACTGACTCCTCACGATAACCCTCTGAGGTAGGGACCGTCACCATCAAGGCTGTTTTACAGATTGGGAAACTAAGTCACCTGACAAAGGTTGCACCATTGGAAAATGAGAGGCAGGTGAGATTTGAGAGCGGGCAGCCAGGCCCAACTGGGAGAGCCAGAGGGGCATCAGAGGGGGGCTGACAGGAGACAGTTCCCTGAGAGGGTTCCCCGGTAAAGAGGCTGAACTTTGTCCTGGGGTCAACGGGGAACCATTGCTGGCTTTAAGCAGGGAGCGACGTGTGTAGCTGTGGGTTTTGGCAGGGTCCCTCTGGACGCAGCGTGGAGAGTGGATGCAGACAGGTCCGAGTGAGAGAAGAAAACATACGTGAGGCCACTGCAACAGACCAGGTGAGGAAGATGGTGGCTGGACCTGAGCCGTGGGCCTGGGAATGGAGAGCAATGGACATGTTCCGGATCTACCTAGAAGGTAGACTTGACAGGATTTGGGGACAGACTGAATTTAGGGCGTAATAGAGCAGGGAGAGCTGAGGGTAACTCCCAGGCTTCTGGATTAGACAATTAGGGTGCTAAGTCCCCGAGACAGGGGAGAACAGAGGAAGAACAGATCTGGGGTGGGCCATACCACTACTAATGGTCCTAGAGTCCTGAAGGGGTTGATGACCCAGAACAGGGCCGTCCCTTCCCCATAACACAGGGTCCCTTGTCTGGACCAGGACTGCGGCTAGCTCCAGAGCCAAAGGGACACCCGCCCCTACCCCAGAGTTGCCACCAGGTGGTAGCAGAGGCCGCCTTTTTCCGGGAAGGCTGTGTAGCAGAGGAAAAAGGGAACTTCTCTGCTGGGGATGCAGACCCACTGGCAAGACCTGGCAAAATGGGCCAGGGGCCTCATCCAGGGGGTTCTGAACCCAAGTTCCTGCAGGTACAGCATCAATAGAGCCCTGATCTAGGAGGCAGGAATCCTGGGTTCTAATATTGCCTGTGACCCACACCTGCCCCTCTCTAAGGCTCAGGTTTCTTGCCTGTAAAGAGCGCAAGCCCTTCAAGGGATCCAGAAGCTGGCAGAGGGACTTCTAACTCCTCCTCTGGCTTCTAACCCTAATAGCTATGGCTTCCAAACATATCTGTAGAGGCAACATCTTCTCTTTACACACAAAA